GTGTAACAGAAAAAAGATAAAGAAATTGGAGAAGTTTCCATTAAACACAACATATGAGTTCTGTTAGTTCCGTCCTATAAGACTTTGAAACTACAGCAAAAATACGCGACTGGAATATAATTCATTATGTTGATGTTCTCATCATAATAATAGGTGCTATAAATTATGCGGTTGATACAGCTAATTCCGCCAAAGGCTCTCCTGTCGGCTGTCTAGCATTCTACAACGATATAAGTTTTAGTGATTTCTGAGGACCGTGCTAAGGAAAATATGCAAATCCATGTTATTATACAAAACACGGTATAAGTGCTGTGTGCGAGTGTGTATTTTTAATAATTCACTGTTAACAAATCATTGCACACCGTCATCCAAAAACGAACAAAAACAACATGTATTATTATTTATTACATACCCTTAACCGTCAACAGAATTATCAAACTGGGAATAAATCCTTTCAGGAAATTTTAAAGGGCAATTTAATGAATATAATAATTTGTATAACGTATAGTAATAATTATGTTTTATATTCATTTGTGTTTATTCCAAGTGTGATGTTGTTTTCACAAGTTAATTATATGATATTCATTTGATATCCATCGATATAATATGTGAGATATAACACACGCAACAGCTTTAATCGATAAGGCCATAATAGAACATTACAAAAATAATAATATAATAATATAACTAAAAATTTTTCGTATTGTCTTATAACCTAAATACTTTGAAATTAATAGCGATTCCTGTTTTGAATAAATTATTTAATAACATTTAACTGATATGAGATTATACAACTAAAACAATAAATTATCATTTGCTTTTATCCGTGTTTAGTGAAATATTACGTTGAAATAATAATCATTTAACCCGTAGTTTAATTTTAATCATTGTAACCATACTATAACATTAAAGTATCGTGATAAACAAAATTAATTTAATTTAGTAATAGTAATAATTATAATGGATTATAGCTATTATAAATTCAATACCTACATTGTTTAACAATTGATCTGGACAAACTCTAATTTTGAAATCGACAAGTTGTGCGGTAAACGTGCTTACGGAATGTGTTTACAATATATATAGTCGCGTATAATCTCAAAATTATCTTCCGAACTTTCCGAAAACAAATGCACGTGAAACACACATAATCGAGTTCTCTTTCCGTGTATTTGTACATATAATAACAGGCGTATTTACATTAAATTTGAGCTGTGTGTAATCAAAGAGGTGCGAATGTATACGTACGGTTAAACAAAGGTTGGTTTTACTCAGAATATTAAACTTTTGACTGGTTTTATTTGCAAAGGGGGCATTTGGTGTATACATTGTATGTACACGAAGGAAACCTACTGTAGCCTTAAAATAACAGTGTTGTCCAATGAGTGAATTATACTTTAAACGTTTCCGGTTGGAATAGTGAGGAGAAAGGACTTTTATACGGTATTATTAGTGAAATTTTCAAAGATAAAGATAATAATTATTGATCGTACGCTCGTATAATTGTATACGTACATGATATAATTTATATCATGCATTCAGCTCAACATTATCGTGTGATATATGTGTGCAATATAAAGGTGAGAGTAAGTATAAGTATGAGTTGAAACATCTTCGTTAAAAATCAATCATCAAAATAAGCTTATCATTAAAACTGAAACGACCAATATAGACCGTTATTATGGTATTTTTTCCTTATATTCTTTGATAAGAGAACCCAATATTTACTAATCTAGAGGTAATGGTAGTAAATTAATTTGTATTCAATGGTCTCCGACGGTATATTTTATTTTTTACTATCGCCCCTACACTACTATATCGTATTCGTTAGATTGAAAACGATCGGTTTTGGGTTTTCCTGAAATCTCCGCAAAACCTTTTCATTTCATATATAAACGTACCAATGAATCCTTTGGGTTCAATATTCACCAACAACTACTACGACGACAGGTGAGTAATTGAGTTGACAGCGAAATCCCAGATAAAATGTTTGAATTGACGGGAGCATAATAAAATTCAGGCATTTATTGGTAAAGGAGAAAAACGAAAGTCAAAATCAATTAACTTCATTGATCCAAAGCATTGAAATCATATATTACACTGTGTTTAATAAGGGAATGGAATAGTATAATAAAACAAACAACATTGTGTATAATTTAAAATACGTCTTAATTAAATAAAAATAATTGAAAACTACGAATCAGCAAGAAATTATTTTCGATTTTAATTTGGGTATAAATCAACATCGGTGAGTGTTTAAAATGTATTATAATAGTTGTTTGATTGTTGTGAACAATTTATTCTTGAAAACGTAAAAATTATATTGACGAAAAAACAATGAATGATATTGCCTCGTTTATGACGATATTAAAAGAAAAACAAACATGAAATACTAAATTAATTAAGTTGATTAACAAAAAAAATAAATAAAAAATAATAATAAAGGCATAGAAAAATATATGATAATAAATCCGAAATAATGGGAAATCATTTTCATAGATGTGTGATATGCAAATTAAAACTGACTTTTTCTCTAGTTGACAAAATACTCGAAGGTGTTTCTATCTGTAAGTAAACGTTTTGTTTCTCACTGTCTTTTTAAATAGTATCACATTTTACCTTTAGTGTACATTTTTAGTTATAAATGTTATAATACGGTGCGCCATATTAATGAGTACACGTTAAAAGTGCGTTTAAAAATTAAAACGAACGAACGAATGGACACAGAACATTGCGTTAATGTTTTTCGACCAATCGACACTAGATGGTATAGGTACAGGGTATGAACCATGGAGGGAATTATAAGGTAAGTGAGTAGAAGCGTTAGGGCGTTCACAAGTGTGCATCACATAAATCCTCACAAGGAACACAAACTTAAACCACAAACTCCATCAGTGGCTTGCGCCTGCATACGTTTACAAGGAGAATAATTTGAATTAGTCTCTTAAGGCCGCACCTAATAATTGATGAACAGAAGGGGCCAATTAGACGTAAATTCGTCGAAATTTCACAGATACTTAAATGATATTGTGCACGTATATTGTGGAGTGTGAACTGTTGCGTACGATTTATACGGTACGCAACCCATCGCACAGGAGGCTTAATCAATCGTTTTACGTGTTCTGTCCACATCTTTGCGGGGAAAATCTAAAATTTTAATGTGCTTCACACAGTCTCCACGGACGGACCACCAAGCAATGTGTCTCTTTATAATAATATATGTGGGTCTAAGACGTGACCATCGATGGTCGAATAAGGGTCGTCTGAGTGTCACGCGAATACCTCATTATCATTTAATAAAACATAAATAAATATCCCCTATGACGATGACAGGGAAGAGTATTGATCGAAATAAAACTTTTAACTTCAACGAGATAAGGCTAAGCTATATCGTATTATGATAGTAGTTGCGGTAGAGTGCTATTCTATGCCTAAAATACTCAGTTATTCTTCTAAATAATAATAAGCTAGGAAGTTTATACATACATAATATATAATATTAATATATATATATATATATATATATATATTGTATTAAGGTCGATGGTGGTCTAAAGGTGGCTTTCAATGCTTTCATTTGCGTCGTCCTTATTTTCTGCTAACCATTGGTCTAACTCATGATATATTCATATTCTGTGTCTGAATTCTCGAAAAGCAACACACACACGTGCGGGCGCGCGCAGGCGCACTTGTTTAGCCATCCCACAGCCTGACCCTACTCCTTACGTCCATTTCCTTCGTTTCCTTTCGACTAACCTTTCACAACCTCTCTACCGTCTCTCCTTGGTTATCGCTGACCACAAATAACCCACGTCCAAAAATGGTTAGACATATAATATTCGTCATCGTCGTCGTCACGAATACCAAATATCCAGGAGGGGGGGGGTTGCACCAGGAATTTTAGAAAATGCATTAGTGTCTCTGGAAGAAGGGTATTATAATACATCAATAAACAACGCTATGGGTAATATACATCAGAGTGAAAATATAAAATACAATTTGAATATAGCATATTTTTCTGCCTTTAAAAAATCGTCTCTAGAGAACCATAAAAAGTTTTACATCCACTTAGTTTATCATATTATACAAAAAAATTTAAACTGTTTTTAAAATGCTTATACGTATTTGTACTTCATTTCACATATTTTGTATAGTTATTACTTATTATTAATATTTAATCTCAAGAAATTGGTTTCTACTACTGATGTTCACTAAAGTAGATTATTATCAAATTTTATAGGAAATATGAAGTTCTGTATTTACTGATAAAATATTGTTTCTTCTTAAACACCTATTATGTTAATATAATTTTACTAGCTATCCCTTTCCTATTTAAACGATGGCTTCTCTGCAGTTTATAAATTACTCCCTAACTCATAAATTTTCTCTTTTCTTGTGAATTTACAATTTCAATGACTATAATTTAGTTTACTACTTAAAACAAAGCTTTAGAGTACAATGAGGTGTATAACAACAATTTTGTATATGGTGCTATCTGTATATCATGATCCTCTAGTTTATTAGAACAATTTTTTTTTAAGAATTTATTCTAAAAAAAGATAGAAAAAATAACTCATAGTGATTCAAAAAAAAAAAAAAAAAGGTATTATTGATAATAAAAGAAAAAACTTAATTAAACGCATAAAGGAATAATAGCGACCATTGTTTTACAGAAAGCTTTATAATATATAAAAACTACACGGGATGATGACTGTTTGGTGACAGAGTTAATGTAGTTTATTATATAGATAGTGGTTTTTTCATCAGATTGATTATAAAAACCGAATAAAACGCGCTTTGTTGTGAAGTGATTATTAGTGTAAACGTTCATGTCCTATAGTCCAAGAACGGAAATAAAACCGTAAAAGGCACATATAACGCGACAATATTACATCAACTCGCCTATCCCGAGTCGAATAAAAAAAAAAATCAAATAATATAAAAAATATACATATACAAAATCGTACGTCTACCGACTATATTACTTATATAAGTCTAACCTGTTGCCGTTCAAAGTGGTAAGAGCTGTGGCGGCTGCGGCTGCAGCGGTGGCTATCCTGTTGGCGTTGCCGTCGACGTTCTGGACTTGCGTGGGTGATAGTTTGGCGGCCAACGCGTTTAATGTGTGTAACATGTCGATCGGGTTCCGGGACGCTGGCCAATCGGGTCGCATGAGCTCGACGTCGCGGGTGTACGAACTCGGGGTTCCAGTGCCGGTTTTACGAACTCGCGGTGAATAGACGGGCGGGTGGACGATACGACTTTGGCAACTGGTGAGCGACGAATTCACGGTGTGTCGTACACGAGTGGAGCACTAAAAATTAGATTAACCGAGATGGACGATGCGCATAGGTAATTTTTAAAACGATGACGAAGACGGAATGTATTTAAATTATAGCACAATAAACGTTTAGATTCCGAACACCATAGCTGTCGAAGGCAAAACGGCAGAGTAGGCAGCGAAAAAGAAGATGGAGAAGAAGAAGGCGATGATGGTGTTATGCTCTCGCACTTTGGATGTCCTGTTGAGAAAAAAAAAATTTAAAGTTAGTTCGAAAAAAGTGCTATTCTGAGATCCGATTATAATATCATTATCGTTGTTTTATTGTTTATACGATTATGTGAACCAAAAGCCGACGAAAATTTTTCCCATATACTATAAACTAAATATTGACGTTTACAGCTATAATATTATTATACAAGGACTGTGAATGCATAATATGTACAAAAACATGTTCGCCAATAAATATCAAACGGATAGCTAATTTCGCGACCAACGAATAAAAAAAAAACAATAATAATAAAATAAAACAATATTACATTTATTATAGAGACCCTGTGATGCGTTGCATATGTTATAAAATTCCAAAGTACGCATCACCAAAAATATATTACGATACTATTAAGTACACGAAACAATAGACCATAGAGGACTGTCTACGACCAACGCGTGCCTGCGTCATCACGACACGACGGAATGAGAGAGCCCTGAACAATGAACATACATACGGCAAGGACAGGGTTAAAACAATCAGATTTAGAGTCTGATAACTGTAAACGCGGTTAAAGTTAAAAAAAAAAAAAAATGATGTCCCAATAGTAAAGTTTTATTGCTTTTGATTTTATCGCATACGCGAGATCCCTTGAGAATTTACAGCGGGCCGGATGGAGGCGCACACTCTCGAGGTATTTATTTTTATTTTTTTATACTTTTTCTGCCTTTCCGGCGGAGAACACGGGGACTTTATTATTTGTTTGTTGGCTTATTTATTTATTTATTTGTGTGCACCCAATTTTATCGTCACTACCGCACCGTAGTCATACGTTTTTTCTTCTCGTTTCCACGACAATAAAAATGAAATAATGACGAATAAATACGAGTCCTATAGGACCTAATAATATTTCTTTTGCCACCGTCGTAACCAATGCTATGCATCCTTATAAGTCTGCATGCACGAGTGTGTATGGCGGGCACATATAATAAATATATATATATATATATATATATACATATAAATTATATATATTGCAGTTTATACATATATATAATATATTGTCGGATCGTGATTTTCACGGCTGGGATATTTACATGCACTTAAGAGACGCGTCGTATTTCAATATTATATAAAAATATCTTAAAAAATTCAAAGTGTATGTATTTATTTTAAACACCGTCAGAGAAAATACGACTATTATTAAAAGTGTATTTTATTATTCCCATTCCTTTGACGCACTGCTAGCAACTCGTTATTTTTACATCAATAATACTCCGTAAAACCATATATTATGATAATATCGGGTGGGCAGGTGTACAGGTACGTTAATACTGCGGTGCGGTTGGACTTTCATTTTAAATACATAAAGGTTGACGGAATTTCCATTTAGTTTTTCACCGAACGCTACCCATGGTAGACATTTGTAAGACATTTCGAGAATTCCAAAATTAGAAACCTAAAAACAGGGAGGAAAAACGATTTTTCCAGTATTTGTCGTCTTCGTAATAGACGTTTTACTTCTTAAATAATAATATATAAATATCGGAGCGCGGTTCGAATACATGAAATTCGAATAACTAATTTCAAACAAACTCGAGTGTCAAAATCCCATACAGATTAATCACTATTGCCGTGACCTGTTCGTTTTGAACATTATATTTTGTATAATGCGTTTGGAAAATGTATAGTACGATAATCGTATTATAGTCCGCGTAAATTGATTCGGTCGATTCCGTGCACGCGGTTTTCTGACGTTTTCACTTTCGGTATTAACTTTCGGGAATAACAACAATACGTGACTGTGCGTACATATTACACACCAACGTTACTGTGTTATTCAACGAGTTCGTGTATATACAGTGGAAACAGCGCAAATTCCGTTGTTTCTTTCGGTTCTTGTGAATTAATAAGAGCCAATATAATTGATACGACGCGAGGTATATTTGCGCACAGTTACGGCACTACCACCACCTCCTCGATCTTCGCCGTTAGTGACGTAATACTCAGACTTAAATCGATATTATATGCAACAATAGAGTATAATTTTTCTTTTTTTTTTTTTTTTAAGGGTCCCGGAAAGTCTGTTTTTGAAATTCTATCCAAATTTATTTATTTGAAAATCACAAGTCGCAACGTTTTTCTGCGCCCCCTCCCCCTCTCGTATCCGAAATAAAAATGAAAATTTTTAGATTGTTTTTTCTCCGTCTAGCGGTGAAACAGTTAAATATGCGACACCTACGACACCCACACAACAGAACAGCATTCTTCAAACGTAGTTTGGCTTTTGGTCCTGCCTTGACGAATATTAGAACGTGCATTCAAGCGGTTAACAAACGTGTTTTTGTTTGATCAGCAAAACGTATGCATCCACTCAACAGTGAAAATCTGCATCGGTTCAATGGTTACGTGTCGTCTGCAGTGGAAAAACGGTCAAACCCGAAAACTGTTCTTTAAACGATTATTATACAACACGCGTCGGCTTAAATAATAGTGACGTTTTAATAATATTATGTTTCCTGTAAACTCATTCATGCCACTATATAAGGGTATGCATAATTATTGTTCGACAAACATATATGATTCCAATCCCTACAGACCACACCAGTAACGTTTACTCCACTAATTCTTCGAATCAAAACTATCATATTGACAGTGTTATCTTACGCACTCGTATTTTAAAAACTTTTTTAATTCGCTGACAGACAATTCGTTAAAATTAATTAAATACAAATCTATAAAATCCCGTTATCGCAGTGTCAATTTATTTCATGTAGGAAAAAAAAGAGATTATCCACACAAACTTTCACTTGAAAACTTTTGACATTTTAAGAATGGCTGGGACATTTATATAATTATCTTAAATTTGAATCACTAAGAAAATCTTTTTATCGTTTAATATAGTTTAAATGAAAATCGTTCAAATGGCTGGGTAACCCTTAGTATATTAATTAGTTATCACTTTAATTTATATGCATGACGTATTATTTTGGTTTAAAACGAAAAATTCAACTTTAACAATATTTTTTTACCGTATCTAGTTTGAATTTGAAATGAATTGTAACAATTAATAGTGTTTGTTATTACTCTTACATTTGGTATACTAACATCATATTTTATACATTCATTATGATAATTATTTTTTACACTGATTCATGTACAACGTACAAAAATATTTATCATTCATCAAAATACAATGATATAAATACCTACCAATGTTATTACGAAAAAAAAAATGATTCTATTAATTAAAAACAATCTATATTTACGTGAAAAAAATGTATTCTGTCAGATTAAAAATACACATACTTTATGTTTTGAACTTTAAAAACAAAAAATAAATAATAATGACCGGCTGTTTTAAAAAAAAAACTGATTGGTTGATCAAAACAAACTGTGTTCATTATCCGTACACACATGGTTTTTCACCCCTTTTCATTCTACCCCAATTTAAAATGAACCCCAGGGAATATAATTTAGGTCGCATCGTTATTATAGTTCACAGTTAAATCCTAGTTAATATTATGGAAAACAATAATACAATGTTGAAACTCAAGACAATGTGATGATACCTTTGATGATTATAAAATTAAAATATTTATGTAAAATAATTAAATAATTAATAATAACAAAAATTTCCAGTTGAATATTGATCACTTTTTTTTCAATCTAAAATTTATAATTTATGTGTAGTAAATACATATATTATATTATTTGTATAAAAAACTTTGGTTGATAAAATACAAGGAAAGTTTGACATTTTTATATACTGTAATGGAGAATCGACTTTTTTTTAAGACGGTCGAATTTTGCGTATTAAACTAAATATTGTTATGTAAGATTGTTGAGTAGACCAAGTTTGTTTCACATTCCGTACTCGAGCGCATTTTATTTTATTTAAATATTTTCTTATAACATTTCTAGAGTTACTCAAGTAAAAATGATATATTAAGTTATGAATATCCGATTTGAGTATATTATTATTTATAAAAAATAAATAAAAAAAATACAAATTTGTACTTTTAAACTTTTGACCTATAGAGGAATATAAATAATTTTCAAAAAAATATCAAATATTTGGCCCTAGTTTTTAAGATGATAATATTATTATGCTGAGGTCTGCTTTCCGCTGTATTATATTGTATTATTATTGTATACTGATAGATTTGCTTGAATACTACAGTCTGTTCTACAAACTCACGATTAGTGATAATTTTTAATTTTTTGGAAATTTTACCCCGACTATCCCTCATAATTCAAAAGGACTTACAAGCGCATATTCCATATACATTTAAACACATTTTGGACTCGAGATTGACGACATGTTGTAAAAGAGAGAGAATAAACACAGAAAATGCCGACACGTTTCGTCTGGTGTCGAAAAACGTTTCACGTAGCCCAATCGACCGCGCGCCCTGTTAAATGAAAAACATTTAATACAAAAATTTTAAAGGTCAATATAACATGCGTTACGAGCTCGTCAGATCTAATTATTTGAATTGTATTTTCCCTCTTTTCGCCAAGTTGTTGCTATATTTTTCTAGCATACGCGAAAACAAAATTCGACTGTATGATTGTGTGTGTGTGTGTGCACGCACGTTTGTAACGTATATTTATATATTATTATTATTATTATTATTATTATTATATGTGTGTAGTGTGTTAAGGTAAAAATCGAACAATTTAATCGTTCAACCACTTATATTCTAATTAATAATATTATTATAATAGACAAACGTTGTAAAATGAATACTACGTCTTGTTAAAACGAAAAATAAATGTTTGTGCATTGATTTTTTTAATTACAACGAAAATATATACAATCTGTATTAAAACCAACGTGTGAGTTTTCAGACTGTACACTCGAAAGTTGGTCAATCGTGTACGCCAGTTATTTGTGTTACACCCTGTGTGATGCCGCCGTACAACTACTGTCGTATACCACTAGTGGTAGTCAGACCGCCATACTCGGACTTTTGCTATTACCGACAGAACACGTGTAAATATAATACAATATGTTATACTTTGCA